TTGTTTCAGCAGTTGCAGGTTCTTTGACGGAGGTGTCCACAATTTTTAATTCTTTATCTTGGTTGTCCTTTGCCTTGTTGCCATCCTCCTCCATGTCATCCCCAGTGTCTTTGTCACTGGATTCATGCAATTCAGGCTGGGGCTTAGTCTGATCCTCAATGGCTTGATCACCCTCGACAGCCTTCTCATCCACAGCTACTGTCTGACTCAAAGGGAAGTTGGTCGTATCAGCCAAAGTTGTTTTCCCCTCTGAAGCGTCAACCTCATCATCCACTGTAATGGGATCAACCTGAGGATTGTCGTCTTCATGATCAGAACCGTCAGTCTGAGATTGCTGGGTAGTGGTCTTTGCAGAAGATGGAGGGGTTGCAAAAGAATCAGGTTTATTAATTTCACCAAGTGAACTCACACCAGAACCCAAATCAGAAGTGGGATGATAGGTAGGCTCACCTTGGCTATTCAAGGGGTAGAGCGACAGAGGAATCGCGGTGGGATTAGATCGTGAAGTTCCAGCATCATCCTAGAAAAGGTGGACATTAGAAAGAATAAAGGCTAAAGAATCAGTGCAAAGGCCCAAGGAAAGGTAGATGCGCAACATACCTTGACAGTTTCGTCAACAGGACTCGAATTGTCACTTTCCATGGGGACAGCCGCTTGGATCGAAGCATCCCCTACGGGAGTTGGAGTAGGTTCTTGAGGAGGATTGGTAGGCTGAGGTGTGTTGGTTACAACAGGAGCAGGTGGAGCATCAGGAGCATCCACATCATGGATAATCTTTCTTTTCCTTTTCACTTGAAGACTCTCACGAGGAGACTCATCTTCGTCATCAGAATCAATAATAACTTGGGGAGAAGCCCTTTTTAATCTTCTTTGAGGGGTAGGTGGTTTTCGACTAGCCTGAAAGCAATACGAAACGGTGAGATTGATTAAGGAGATCGAGATAGTAAAAAGTTGCGGAAGGTTACCTTTTGACCTTCGTCCTTGACTTCAATTCTGGCTGTTGGGGCAGCACGTTTTGAAGCAACTGAAAAATGGATGATACTAAAAACAGTTAGCAACAATAAAGCTCAGAGAGGTAAGTCCAAATCGAAGGGGGATGAACCTTCAAGAATGTCGGATTCGATGCGAACATCTTCGATATTGACATGAAGGTGCCCTTTAAACGTATCGAGTGTATGTTTAGTCGGAACCACCCGCTATGCTTTGGGCTTAGACTGCTGTCGAAGAATTTTTATAGCGTCTCCACAAATAAACCAATCTGGAAATGGAGGGGCAAGAGCCACGCCAAAACCAGCGGTTGGTAGTCGAGGGACTTTTGGGGGGAAAAGTTTAAAGGCAACCTCATACCGTTTCTCGCGAGGAACAGAAGAGGGAATCTTTAAACTATCCAATTTTTTGGAAAATTTTTCTTTCAAAATGACAGCAGCCTCGCGGATGGTTCGACTAACATCATCTAGTCGATAGGCCGTTTCGAAATACTTCTGGAAGGCTTGGATCTCTTTGATATGAGTAGACGTACCTTTCTTGATCTTCTCCTGCACATCAATGAAAGTTTGGTCAATCAAGCGAGTAAAACTAGGAGCGTCAAGAAATTCTGGGGCGTAATGTTTCGACCACCAGTCATAGAAGTTTTGGGAGCAAAAGTAAGAAGGTTCAAGGTGAACAGGTGTGAGGTAGGACTTGTGAGCATGGCGTGCCAGTTGTGTCGAACAATCCAGAGGAGATAGCACAGTAAAAGGGAGAATGATATGTGATTTCTTGTCATACAGGCATTTGGGCAAGGTTTGAATTAACCCGAATTGCCTGGACACCAAGTTCGGTTGATAGGCTAGCAAGCTGGAGTGACCTTTTACAAGGTTTAGTTTGTGAATCAGTAGGCGGGGAATGAGGAATCTATCCCAAATCAGCTTTGACTCCTCTTCATGTTTCTTTAAGGGAGCAGGGAAGGGTCTAGTAAACCATTATGGGCCACATTTTCGTTCTGCGAAGGGAGCCATCTTCGCGGTAAACTCATGTCGTTTTGCAAACATATGAACAAAGCTGGATAAATTGGATCGAATGGAATGGCCTTCCTCGCTAGGAGTAAGTTGAGTCAGGCGAGGCCATTCGACTCTTCTCTCAACAACTACAGGCGAACGTTCATCAACTTCACCTTTGTCGAGAAGACTGTACTCAAAAGTAGCATTAAGCCACAGCTGAAGAAGCCAAAAAGGGCCCGACAACAGCAAGTTGCCATGGCTGTCAGGATCTTTCAATTTATCCGCACCTTCGCCTAAGGCCTCATAAAGACTGGCCAGGATCATTTCACTAAGGCAAACGCCTCTCTTCACATGTAGCTGGTTGGCTAGGACCAGATACTTCCGCGCCACCTGCAAGGATTTGGTACAGAATACACAACGGGACAACCACATGGCCAAAAAGGCTATATGTTCTTCATCGTCAACAGAGGTACTAGTTTTATTATGGTAATGTTGGACAAAAGTTGTATAAGTATGTTTAGTATTGGCAAAACCAATGTTGTCATGACTATCAATCTCGGGATCATAAACTAAGTCGTAGGGTTTTATGCCTACAATGGCAGCTACGTCAAGTAGAGTGGGTGTCATCATTCCACAAGGAAGGTGGAAGTGTTGTAAGTTCTATCCCAGAAGAATAAGGAAGAAGCCAGCATAAGGGGGCAGTACGAAGAGCCTACCTTCGACATCATAATCAGATCGTAAATCCCAGTGTCCTTCCATTCCTGGGCTTTTACTTTCTCTATTTTCGTCAGCCAGTTGAGATAGAGTTCGGAATCTTTGAAGTAGGGAGTGGCCCTAAATAATCTGGCCCCATCATGAAGATACCTAAAGTCTACGTCGAAAAGGCTCAGGCTATTAGGACCGTCAGTGGAAATTTTGTTAGAGTCTCTTTGCCCTAGGGGTTTAGTGGTTCTATAAGAGGGGAAGAAATCTTTAATGGCGGAGTAGTCAAGACCTGGAGGGGGTAAAGGCCCAGACATGGCTAAGGGTCTCCCTGCAACAGTAACAGGGATGATTACCTGAGATTCGTAAATGTGGCGTTTCTCCTCCGTCAGGGGTTCGCGGATGAACTGTTGATTCTTTACCACCTGGGAGCCGCTCAAGCTAGCAAAGGGAGGAAGTGTGGATGCAGAAGTTTGTCCTTTAGATGGCATTTTCTTCTTTTAATGATCAGTCATTTCTGAAGAAAGTGAGAGTTTGTTGGTTGGAAGCAGAAAATTAGAGAAAAAGCAAGGAAAGTTGTGAAGAGTTAGAGAAGTTGTAAAAAATGAAAACATCAAAGGGAAATTACTTATATAATGTATGGAAGACTGAAAGTTTTCATCATTAAGGGGCTAGAGTTAGTGGGCCACGTGTGTGTTCGGATGTGGGATGGCAGAGGCAGTAGTTGCAATTCACGTCCCCGAGGTTAGAAAGGTGATGATGGCCCACGATTTTGTTGATTCCCGAGAAAATAGCCATGATGATAGTGACGTCATAAACGTGCATCAAGGTGACGGAACAGTAGCTTGCGTGCTCATAGTTATCTTTCTTTTTCTCTTTCATTCCTTTTCACCTTCCCAGACTTGCATTGGTGGAAAGAGTATTGTACGACACAAAGCGGCGTCGAAGGTCATACGCTGTCAAAAAATGTGTTTTTCTACAGTCGAAGTCGAAAAGACATTTTTTGGGGGGCAATTTGTTAGCTCATAAAATTCGACGTCTCATGTAGAAGGAAGGTATCCAAGATAAAAGGGTGGAAAATAAGTTGAATACAAAAAATGGTCGAAAGAAGCTAAGTCGAAGGACTCACCCAGAAGTCAAAAGTTCGACCGCCTGCCAAAACGAATGGTTTGTCAAAGGATTTGAAATTTAAAATATTGGAGGGAACAGTTTTGCTTGTTGAAAATTGAGAGAGACACGTGTCACCTTATGAGTAATAGATCCATGCATTTGTGACAAATGGCGGAAGGAGATTATGGTAGAGGTTATGAGAGGTTATTTCTTGTTACTATAAATAGGGTGTCTTAGACATATCCAAAGGGTGTTGTAATTTACTATTGTACAAATTACTCTTGAAATTACTCCAAGTATCCGAGTGTAGAGAAAGCGAGTATTGTAAGAGAATGTACGTGATGTAAACACATCATCTTTTAACTTAATGCAATTTACTTGTTTTTACTTTAAATTTCACAAAGTCTTTTTATTGTCTTTACCCCTTTTCCTCCTTATCTTATTTCTCTCCTTCCTATGCAATTCTTTTTCTCTTCGTCCTCAATCTAACTTCATCCCTACCAACAAACTTTCTTCTCTTTTATTGAAAGCCCTACTTTACCTTTAAATTAACCCGTAGTCGAATAGATGTTCTTTTAGGATTCTTTTATCCCAATACTGTTCGGGTGTGAAACTTGAATAGATTCTTAAAACCAAAAATAAATCTTTTAGCACATGTCCTAGGATCAATCTGATCGATCCTGTGAGTCACCAAAGTTAGATTTGGAAGATCAGCGGTTGTTTTCCAATTTTCAAGGGAAACAATACCTTCATTTTGATTCCGGAATTTTTCAATCTCCTAAACAATACTCTTATTAATCAAGCTTTTTATTTCCATTAGCTTCTAGTAAAAAAAAATGTCAAATTATACACAACATTTAGGGTTGGTTGAAAAGTAACCTGCCCTTTCGAGGGAAAGAGGTAAAAATAATTTAATAAAAATAATAATTAATACGGCTGAAATTTAAGAGGTAGTATAAATACGGGACAAATAAATTTGTCAAAAGAATTTTATATTTGTGAAACACTATAGTATATAAATATAATAAATATAGACTTAAAACTTCATGAAGCACCTTATGCAACCCATTCAATCATTTCCAAAATAAGGGATTTCTTTGTTGCAAAACCAATTATGTCATGTTCTTTAAACTTACCACGTCTAAATTAGTTAGGGGAGAGGGGGACCAACTCATATGTACACTTAGAATGCCATCAATCTTGAACTGCTTACATCCGAGGCCAAACTTGACCATAATCATCTTTCTTGAAATATCGCCGATCCCAAGACCAAGGCACATCTGCAGAGGAAAATGAATGTTAGAAAACAGATAACATGCATCAGCCGAATTAGAACAGGAGAGTAATATGGCACCACCTTCTGAAGAATAAGGCAGTGGAGGGAGTTCATAAGGCACAGGTAACTGGATGATAACTTCAGAAGATGAATGTGTAGTATCCCTTGTCGGCGCAGTTAGGGTTACTAGCTTTGTTTTCTTCATTTCAGATGTTCCCTGTGTTGAGCTTTTATCCTGTAATTCTTTTGTCTGTTAGGACGGTTGTTCATTTTTCGTTTCCCATTTCCATATGGTCAGAAAGATGATCCGAAGATCTCTTCTCTATAACCAGTTGAGAATTAATTATATCAAGCTTAAAACATTATGAAAAAAAAGAACATGTTAGCCACCTTCAATTGTTTAACATTACTGGTACAGGAAAACCCACATCCTCGTTTCAATAATGACGGTAGAAAGAGCACTCCCAGCTGTAAGGTAATACACGTAAAAATATTTAGTGCATCCTCCAAGCATAAGAAACAATAATTAGAGAAAGCACCCTTTTTTACATCTTCAAATTCTTATGTCTTAATTGTTATTGTCATTATGCAAGCTTTTAAAACAAACAAGCTGGTAAATTTTCTTGGGTCTGAATTGACAATAAGTAACTACAAACAGCCCGGCAAAAACAACATACCTCGTATGAACGAATCATCAACTGACTGTTATTCTTCTGAAGAGCTCCCCAAGCAGCTTTGCTCAGATTTGCCGAAGTTAACAAGAACCAACTATTTGGGAAGATGGTGTTTCAGGGTTAACTATCTATATCATGACTTAGTAGTACACACTAAATGACCGAAAATTCAACAAACATTAGAAATCAAAGAGCATAGAATAGGTGTGATAAAGCTCTTACGCGAGATTCTGATTATTGTAACGAGCAAAAGTCTTTATATGTGGCATAGCATGGCTGAAACGGAAGGAAAAAAAGGTTTAATTAGTGAGACACAAATTTTTATAACCTCAAATAAAAAGGGAGATATATTCCGAGTCTCCAAGTAGGTGTAAAACTGGATCGGAAACAATGCAAGAAAAACAATTTTGATTGCAGAAAGCCCACTTCCTATAACAGTAAATCTCTTCATCCCAAATGTGTCCCAATCCAATATCATTACCTTCTATAACTACTCTTGTAAAAAGCCTAACAACCTGAAAATGAACGGCATCACTTCTGCTATTAGATAGTGATAATATAACTTCAATTTATATGCACTGGTTCTAGTCCCCTGTTCCCCCTTCTACTTTTCCATCAAATTGGAGACGATAGTATTCATCTATCAATACGCTAATGTACTATAACTTCAACTGAAAAACTTCAACTGAAAAATAAATTTCCTTACGTGCGACCAGTATGGCTTGCTTTCCACTTTGCCCAATACTTTTTCAAAAATGCTTTCTCTACATTCTTCATAGGACTTGGGATTGCATTGCCAGCAGCATAACCCTAGAGAATAATAAATGACGGAGATAGTTGTTCAGAAAGTTTCACTTAAAAATTCAAATACAAAAATCAGCAAAATTTAATAAAATAACTGGCACATATATGTACAAGAGAAAATAAGAATTGAGCATGGGGAAATAAAAATAAATTCAAAATAATCTTTCAAGCCATTAAATTATTTTTATAGCTAAGCATTTCTATTATTTATCAAGTTATGGCTAAAAACCACACGTGAAAGTAGAATAGGGAAGAACATTAGACCTAAATGCAACAGGTACCCCAAGGATGTTACCTAATAGGATCTGTTAGAATCAAATTTTAATATTTATTACTAGGATTTTAATTTATAGTTATCCTTAGTATTAGCAAATCATACCAATTAGTATTTTATGTATTTATTTTATATGCTATTATAAAATATAGGAGGTGAGTGTAGTCTGATTTAGACAGACAGAATCACAAATTCAACATGTATCAGAACAAGTTTTGATCATGCGACTAGTGGGGTTCTTTGTGGCAGCTGGCGGCAGCAAGTTTCCGTCGTCAGCCACCGCCGAACAAGTTTTCTTGAAAATTTCAATACTTTTCCAGTGATTCTACACCCTTTCTCCGCTAGCTCTTCCTAAACAGCCTGTTTTTAGTTTTCAACAACTCTTGACTATTTATTTTCTAGCAACACGTGTATTCTCTGGCATACACTTCATCGGCATGTACCATCAGCCACCATTAACACCACCGTGACCATATTGTTGTCGCTAGTCCTACCATCTGAATGACACCATCATCGAGCAACCACATGCCGACATTTGTCGGAAAATTTTCTGGCGAGCAATTTTCCGGCCAGTTCTCCAGCATTGTGACGTCATTCATTCAACATGTCTTCATATTATCTGTTGTGTCATTCTTCTGGCATGTTCAGAATTTCTTCTTCCATCATTCACTCACGGTCAGTTGACATTCGTCTTGCTTCCAACAAGTTGCACATTCACCGTGCTTCATCCGGTACTTACCTTTCCAATTGGTGTGCTTCTCACCGCATTCAGCTGTGCCTAGACTCGTTCCCAAAAACCACCATAACCACTGTTGGAATTCTCAGACAAGTACAATTGTCTTTGCTACAATCACCTCCAGTCACGCTACAATTGTCCGGCTACAGCCTAATTTCTCTACAGTACAACCACAGTTGTAACTAGCTGAAAGCTTAGTAAGCTTTAGCTTGGGAGAAAGTGTAAGAATCAAATCTTAATATTTATTACTATGATTTGAATTATTTATAACGATTAGGATTAGCAATTCAAATCAATTAGTATTTACTTAAATGTTATTGAAAATATAGGTGAGTATAGTCTAATTTAGACACACACAATCACAAATTTATCTTCAGAATATAAAAAGCATCATCAAGACCTATACTTACCTCTATTGAGCATCTGACATCTTCTACAGTAGGCCATATTATTTGAGGCTCCCCCATGCCAAGGGGTACTTTATCTTCAGAGAGACCTGCTGACATTGATGATGCCAATTCAACCATCCATTTTTCATCTAAAGAGCCAAGGGAGGAGAACTGCAGTAGATACAATAGGCCAAGTATATCATCAATACTAAACATTTATACAGCTGTTTTATAAAATCTATCACAAAAATATGCATTATAGTCAAAACTTACTCCCATAAGTTTTGACAATGAAATTGAAGAAAATATAAGCAAAGTATGGTACTTTGACCTTGATTTCTTCATCAAACATAGGATTAACGAATTAAGATTACGCACAAACTAACTGAAACGGAAACAAGAAATAGTAACTTAACCTACAGCCTGAGAGTACCTGATAAACAAGGGGAGATTTCTTAAATTCTTCATCAAATGTACATTCTTGGAGCACAGAACGAAGCTTCATATGACCCCACTTTTTCAAACCATTACCAGAATGATATCCAGGTACAGATGCAATTAATCTAACCTGAACATAATGCAAAAAACCATCATACATCCTGATGTACAATGTATCCAAGAATGTAACAAATCATGCAAGAGAAATAGTAAGTAATAAGTAACAAGGGTGTCAATTTATAAAACCAGTGAGTGGGAAACATACCATTGCATCACTATAATCAAACTTCTTGAAAAATGATGGACATATGCTAAAGTTTCCAAGGGATGGAAGATTAACAGAGAATTCTGGCCACTGAACCACCAAATAAGTCAAAATATAAATGATATGGATAATCATAATAGCAACCCTAATAACAAACCCGGTCAATCAACAAGATTAATGTAAACTTCTGTTGATACTTAGAAATGCTATAAAAATGGTTTAATCAAAGTTAAAGCTTATTCAGTAGAGAAACTAAATGATATGGCAAATTATTTCAGAACAGCATAGGCTCAATAAATTTTTTAATCCAATTGTTTAGCCATATGGGAAATAATGGCATCCTTAATTCATTTAGTTGACTACACTTCGTTAGAAAAGGCTCTTGTTTGTTGTATTATGCATTAATTTTGTCACATCAATACGGTTGAAGCATCATTATTTTTCTTCTTAAGATCATATACCCGGTTTTTGACGTATAAAAAAGCAATATAAAAAAACATTACCTTCAGTGCACTGAGATATTCAACCAAATCATTTTCAAATCTAGATCCCCTGCTCGGACTATTTTGATCTTTCCATGGAAAATCTTGCATCCATAGACCTTGGCTTTTATTGTTCCAATCTACATAAATTAAGTTTGCCGTATGTACAATGACTCTTACTCCTCGAGGATATACAAGAAGCATGGCCTTTGAATGGTGTGTCCCAAATGAAATTGGAAGAGGCGGTTTGTGCAAAATCCAATTTTTAGGTTTGCTTATCTAACAACCATAACAGTAGCAAGTTAACATTCATTTAACAAACCTTATATATTTAATTTAGCAAAGCAGGTTGAAAAATAAAGTAGATCTAAGACAAACCTTCATGCAAGCCACCCTCTCATCACCCTCTCCATGAAGAACAAGCACGTGGGGAACTTTTGAAAGTGCAGGACAAGCTACACCAAGAAAATAATGGAAGAGAGAAACATACTAAAATGAGATAGGAAAAAACAAAAGGACTTCAATCAAAATGCACATATATATATGCACAAATTTTACAGCAATAGACCAGCCAATAGCCAACAAGTACAACACTACATCAAGGACAGAATGATCATTAGTGCCCTTTGTCTATGCCAATATGTAATATACACTATTATAATCTCCTAATAAAAATCATTTAACGCGACATGTGCTACATCCTTGTTGCTACACAATTACAAACAATAAGCTGCAGAGGCGTGGAGTTGAAGGTTTTTTTGGTAAAAAGAATTGGGGCTTTTTATAATATTATATCATATAGTATCCTATATTAGTAAGAAGGATTGTGGGAGAGAGGGGAGGAAAAAACTCTGAACAACCCAACTGCGGCCAGCAATTTCAAAATACAAGGAAGAACAACAAACTTTGGAATAGTTTAAATAAATGTGTTCAGCATCTCGGAGCAGTTTCAAGAGCATAATGGAAGTCAGAATGCAAGACAGGAAAATCAGGGATAGAAAAAAATGGAACAAGCAAAGAGGAATTAATTGGAAATGTTAAGAGTCCCACGTCGGACAATATATGGCATGCACATGTGTTTATAAGTGGGGGTAATCCTCACTCTACCAACCGGTTTTGTAGGGTTGAGTTAGGCCCAACCACAATTTCTTAACATGGTATCAGAGCCTCGTTTAAGATCCGGTGGGCCACCTTCTATGGTTTCCGCTATCGGGTCACCCACCATTTATTTCCACGCTTCAGTTATCCAGTCCTGAGCGCGAGGGGGTGTGTTAAGAGTCCCACATCGGACAATATATGACATGCACATGTGTTTATAAGTGGGGGTAATCCTCACTCTACCAACCGGTTTTGTAGGGTTGAGTTAGGCCCAATCACAATTTCTTAACAGGAAAAACCATAACAACAACAAAAACTCACCAGGAATCAACCAGTCAATGTCTACCATGTAGTTTGAAAGGATAGCAACTAGAATATCCCCCTACCAACAATAATTATTGAAATAAGTCAAGATAGTTTCAAATTTTTCCAATATGCAAATTAACATTAGTGCGTTTTTATGCAAAATAACTCTCAAGTCAATCATGAAACAAAACAAGCTTTTTCTTGAAGCACTGACAAGAACAGTGTACATTAAAATCAAATACAACTAAAAAGAGTACTGGTAGTAACACACTTTTTCGCACTCTCTTTTAAACCCTTCTAAAGTGGCAAACCCCGCGTGAATTTCTCCCAATTGTGAAGAAAGTGTTGTACCCCGTTTTACATGTGGTACCAAGACATGAGAGAACATTTCTCATATAATTAATATCACTAATCATTTCCTACCTGTATAACATTGCTTATTGAAACACATGAAGTATTAGCCCAAGATGGTAACCTTTGCACACGCAAAAGTCGAAAGGTGCAAGGTATTTGATCTTCAGCTACATGGAAATCAGAAATAGCTTCCTCACGTGACCGGGAATAACCACACTTTTGTGTCACTGCAATTTTATCACACTTTTGTGTTACTGCATTTCTTCCTCGTTCCTGCATATTTCACACAACAATTAAATGGTTCAATTAAGTCCATACATAGCACATAGTGATCGTTATCACACAAATGCATCACAGCGCAACACACATACACGGGCTTCTTTGTCTGCACCACTTGAATCTCTTTGCAATACTTGATATTTAAAAAGGTGGTGACCAGGAATGAGCTCAATTACATCTCCATTAGAAATAGCAACTGTTTCTTTGGAGTTAAGCTTCCTTCTCTTATTCCCAGAATTAACAACAACTGGATTCGTACCTTCCTGACATTCACAAAGCAAAAATCACTCATTAAAAATAATAGAAAAACATTATTCTCATAATGTTAACTTTGAGATTGGATTCCAGGAGTTAAAAAACGAGCAAACACCTACTTTAGTCCCCAAAATTGTAGGTTTATCTCAACTTAGACATCACATAATTAATATTTCAACGCAATCCCTAAAATTGTAAAATGGTAAATTGGTAATCAACTTTCCTCTTCTACCTGAACCTATTATTAGGCTATGTTTGGATTGATGGAACATACCAGAGTGGAACAGAATGAAACATAACGGAGCGGAAGTGAGCGGAGCAGAATGGAATATATATCCCACTCTATTGTTTGGTTATTTTATTAAAAATGTCTTATTCCATTGCGTACACCTCAAATGAGATGGGACAAAAAATGGAGAATTGGATGGAATGGGATAGAAATTAGAATGGATTCCATCATGTCTCACCCACTCTATCCATTATTTTTACAAATCCAAACAATGGAATCTAATTAGTAACCATTTATTCTATTTCATTCCATACCACCGACCCAAACATACCCTAAATGTATAATAGCATTAGTGACATAGTTTCAAATTCTTTTCCAACATTACTAACTCAATCTCAGTATAGTTAGTCCTTCAAAATATCAACTAATGGATGAAACCTAATTACCATTTAGCAATTTTAGATATAGTTTTAGAATATCAACAATATGGAGACTAAGATGATAAGATTTAACAATTTCAGGTACCAAATCACATATTTACTAGGTTAACGATTCAATGACTCTCACATTATAATACTAATTAGGTTAACATTTTGTAATTAAAAAGATATGTAGAACTAAATAATACCACATGCAAATTTGCAGTGCCATCGGTAGAAGTGGTTATAGTTAGGTGTTTGCGGCTGAGCCTCTTGTCAGTGACGGCGAGGTTGTTCCGCCCAATAATGGTTGTGCCGTCTGAGATAGCTAGCTTAGGAGTTGAAGCTTTTTCTTCTTCAAAATTTTGATTCAGAGGAATCAAATAACCGATTTGAGAGTGAGAGAGAGACATTAATGTAACTCAGAATCGAGTGAAGGTGGGTTGTAATTGATTCTACAGCTCTAAAGTATGGAGTATTGATCTTTTTACTGGCAAGGTGAAGAGAAAGGTATAATTTCTATTTTATTTTAATTTATTTTAACAATGAATCAGTAACAGACCCGTGTTCCCGTGCAAAAACTGTCGATCAAATTTAACAAAATAAGGATTAGCAAGTTTGAAAGTATGCTTCTTCTTTTTTTTTTCAGGATCGAATAGGATATCAAAATATAAAAGAAAATAAATAAATAACAAAATAAAAAATATATAAAATAAAAATTAAATAATAATATTTAAATTTTAAAATTTTAAAAATGTTTAAAGTGATGATTGGTGTTAATATAACACATATTTACATCATTTTAAATTCTTAAATTAAAATAGTTTTGTTTTATAATAATTGAATTATATAATAAAATAAATATTCATTAATATTAGATTAAATATTTTAAAATGGTAATCAATAAAAAATATAATGATTAAAATATAATAAAATCACATGCATTATATTTATAAAGTTAATACAAATTATTTACTAAAAAATGATTAAATTGAAATTTATGCTGTAGAATTATTTTCTAAGAATGATTCATTGGGCCACTTGATACGTATACATGACCTAAATGTTTAAAATGGTAACAGTTAGCCTATAGTTCATGAAATAAGAATTTTTTTTTACTCTAAATGTTATGGTATTTTCCTAGATTTTGCAAACGTCAGGCTGAATCACTACTAACTGGTCGTAGAAACAAGGGAGGGGAAGCATGTCTGGTTCGAGCAAGAACCGCTAATACTGTGGTGGGTGCAAAAAATATGGAGATTGCAGCTTCAAATGTGAAAAAAGGAAAGGTTGTTATGAAACCGATTGACAAAACTGTAGTGGTTGCCAACCATGTGGAGATTGCTTCTTCAAATATGGAAAAAGGAAAGATTGTTATGAATCATATTGAGTTAGAAGATGACATCGATGTTAGTAACAGTGTTTTGCAAAACATAAAGAAGGTAGTCGAATAGAAAAGCCAATTACAAAGAATGCACGTATGCACGTAAGAGACTAGTTGGAGGTAATATATTGGGTACCAAAAAGATGAGACAATTGTTTTTAACAATGTTGTTCCAAATTGAGTTCGTCAAGAGATGGAAATGAGGAACAATAAAATTAGTTGATGTTGAGGCTGGTATGACCTTCAAGTGTGTCGTTCACACGGCCACAAATAAGAATAAAACTAACATACATGAGAAGTACATAGTGCAAGAATGGTATGAATATGCTGCTAGCAAAACTTTCTGTGACGGAGATACATTGGTTTTAAAAATGGGAAGTTTCTTCCCTTACTTGTATGCGACATTGAAGAGGGCTTGACTGGTTTTGGTTTATTATATGAAGTAGTTTTCGACATGGTAGGATCTGTTATTTTTGGGTGTTTTCTTTACACAGTTGGATATAATCGTTTATGGATAGGTACTTTAATTTATTTTGCAGATGTTTTTGGTGTTTTTTTGCTTGAAGTACAATTTATGTATGACATTTAGTAATACATCAACATTTATGCATAAGATACACTTCTGCTTTTGGATTTTTTGTTGTTATGTAGAACGAAAAGTTTGAAATATTATGCATATCTGTTAATATAAAATATTATTTAGTATGTAGAGTTTAGTATTAAGGTGGAATTGCTGGTATAAATTCACTAATAAGTATGTCTAAAAAAAATTCAGGTTGTTAATTTATATCCCTAAGATAAAACTGAAATGTTTAATACATCCAATTGATTAAAATTTGAAGTGCTTAATATATAACAGTATAAGAATATGTTTTGAAGGAAAAGCGATTCATCAAGTATGGTAGTTTTATGCATACATTAGTTACAGATAAGATATGTTTAATGAACAACATGATTATTATACAAAACATATTTCGATAAAATGATGTGATTAATGAGAGTGTTTATTTGATAAAATAATGTGTTGGAAAAGAGTCACAATTGAATGACTCTTTAGATTACTATTAGGTACAGCATAACAAGTAATCAAATAAACCCAAAGTCATAAATGTTGAATTGTTTCCTAATATTCTCAAGCAAAGTGGTTTGATACGTATTCCCATGCTTTGCCTTGTCATTTCGCCTGCACAGGAAGTCTAAAAAGAACACACAACAAATTCACCACCATATATAGAGAAGTAATGCTTGACACATACTCATTGTGTTATTGAAAGTATCAACCTAAGCTCCATTAAAAATAAATTTATCGATGGCTTATTCCTCTATCAGGTTTTATAGTTCAAAACTCACATATCCAACAAATTTCTTTTTATGTTTTTGTTTAACATAATATGTACTACTATGATTCAATAAAATGAAAATGTTTCTCTATTTGCGGTGCTTCTTCTACGGGGACGGTCGGAATCACGGAAATAATAGGTGGGACTCATACAGAGGTGAATCAATTGCAACCTTTACACACATGTGACATTGCCGCTATGTTTCCTGAAATTAACAGGGCTAAAGAGAATGCAATAAATGGGGAAGGACATCAGCATAATGATGTCGAAGGCATTGCCCAACAAGTGAATGTAGTACATAATAACCTAGCCCAGCAGATTGTGAATGTGGAAGATTTAACATCTGACTTGTACTGGGAGAAAAGGATCATGAAGGCCTCAAAGGATGGAAAAAAATAGCATGGTGATTTCTAAACCCAGTGTATCTTGCATTGCATTTCCCCTTGACATACAATGTGATATTTGTAAGATATTTAGTATGTTAATATAATAAATTGACAAAACTTTGAAATTATGTAGCATTTTCCAGGTGACATTGTTATGAGGGGAATACATGAGGACCAGACTGAACTCACCCTCGTGGACTTAGAAACTATGAGATTCTGGGAATGTGACATTTTGAAATCCAACAGACCAAACATGGATAAATACCTTGGCTTTGGTTGGTATGAGTATGTTAAATAAAAAAAAACTTAAGGTTGGCAATGTCCTGCAGTTTCACTACCGATCCAGTCCACATATGTTGTACGTAAGGGTTGTTAGATGCTCTTGAGGATGAACTTATGATGCAATGAATGATGGCTTACACCAATTTGTCTATGTTTTGGGTATTTTTGAAAGTTTAGGTCAGTAGTTTTTTTTTAAAGGGTGTGTTATGGTTATGTTAGTGTCATTTTAAGTATTCATTTAAGTTAACATTTGGCTTTCTTTATTATGTAATATAAGTACCATGAATCAAAGACGTCTATATGATATCTTCTTTTTTAAAGCAAGTGGTTGAAAATATCTATTTCATTGCAAAAAGCATATATCTTATTGATTAGTAGTAGTTGTCATATGTATAAAAATATTAATATATGGTGTTGTAACACGATTACTCAGTTAGAATTCTTAAACAAAACGACATTGAGTTACAAACCAATGAACAATTATATGCCTAATTTGTGTAGTAAGGAAATTACACTGATTTTTAAAGATTACCAATTACAAACTATGAAAGTTAAAACAGACTGGAATATTAGTAACTTATCAAAGTCTGTAGCTAACTTTTCATTACATTCAAAAAAATAAATTGTGTTGAAGATGTGTTTAGAATGAACCCAATGTAGTTTGTAGGAGTTTCTTCATTCCATGATCAGATAAATCCACTTGAATAACCTATCAGAAAATAAAATAAAATACATAATTTAATACTTTCACCCAAATTAATTATGTCCAACTTTAATAAATCCTATTTATATTATGTTTTTAAAATACTCTAACCATAATGTTCATTATAAATAGTGAAATAATATATCATCGTATTCAAATGCATTTTATAACTTACACTTTATACGTTTTCAAAAACTTCTTTGAAAACAACATTGGTCATGGAATACAATGTTTGATTTTCTTTGTTGTGGATTAGTATTTTGAGCCTTTTTTTTGCTTTTTACTTTGGATATTGCGGCATACAATTGACCATGCCTAAAGAAACTACGTGGCAAATATAATCCAACATAGTCCAATGGTTGACATTGAGCTTTGTTAATCATCATAGCACATGATATAGTAATGGGAAATTGTCTTCTTGTTAGCTTAAACGGTCGTGGAGATTGTGTGGGAGAAATGTCCATTCTTGGAATATAAATTAAACCCTTGATATTCTTTCCATATATAATCTTCGCTCGCCTCTATGTCATGGTTTTTCAATCTTGTAACAATAAGTCTTGTTCCATTACAAAGTCCCTCTGACTGATCAATATTCATGAGAAGCCTTATTGGTGTGCCAATTTTCAATTTAATCTGATGATTACAAACACCTAAGGTTATAAGTGTGTTAAGAAACTTTGTGGTTAAAATGTCGAAAGCTTCATTTCCATCTACATCATAACTTTCCATTATATCGGAGCTTAAATATTTATTTTCTTCTTCTATGTCATGGAATAACAAAGGTTTATACAACCATATAATATATCAACAATATGAACAAACATGTAAAAGTACGAAGCATGTAAAGATATTAATACCTGGTATGAAACCTGAAACATATTGGTGTTTACAGTGAAATTTGGTAAATAAACACGAGTTTATATTAATACTTAAGGGATCAAACTTGAAAATCTCCCAGACATATTTGTGTGCATTTATTACTTGCAAAAATCATAGTGCAGTCGAAGTTAACACTAACTACTTGAAAATAAAATTGTTGTGATCAATTGCAATTAGAAAAGTGCTAAATGTAACACCCTACTCTACCCATTCATATAATGATTGAAAAATATGAAAATAATGCATAATCAAATTAGAGTTAATACACGTAAGATGTCACATTGCGATAACAACATCAAAGTGAAGCATCAAATTACTTCATTTGTCATTTATTAATAAAAACAAATGCTTTTATTCCATAGCGTAATTAATTCAAACGGTTCAACATTAATCCCTAAGATACATCAATACTCCACATAATACATGGTCTAACAACAAT